GAAGGAAGGAAGGAAGGAAGGAAGGAAGGAAGGAAGGAAGGAAGGAAAGTAGGTAGACAGGCAGGAAAAAAAGAAAAGAAGGAAAGAAAAAAGAAAAGAAAGAAAACAAGCAAGCATGCATAAGGTTTGAGTAGCTAGGTATATTTAACCCAACTGAAACATTATACAATGTATACATATGTCAAAACATCACATAGTAACCCACAAATATATACAATTTTATATTTCAGTTAAAAAATAAATTAAGCCAGCTATTTGTGGCTCACACTTGTAATCCTAGCTATTCAGGAGGCCGAGATCTGAGGACTGTGTTTTGAAGCCAGCCAGGACAGGAAATTCCATGAGATTTTATCCCTAATAATCTATACCCCCCAAAACACAAAAACAAACAGCAACAACAACAAAAAGCATCTCAGAAGTGGAGCTGTGGCTCAAGTGGTAACGTGCTAATCTTGAGGGGAGAAAGATGAATTTGAGTTCATATCCTAGTACTAGAACATACCAAAAAAAAAATCCAGGGCTGGGATGTAGCTCAGCAGCAAAGCATTTGCCTAGCAAGTGTACCATCCTGGGTTCGATCCCCAGTACCAAAAAGAAAAGACAGAAAAAAAAACCAGTGATCCAATCCTATGGTCAGTGCTGAAAAAGAACCGTGTAATTATAAGTGATGTCCTTGTTATTCTCTTCGCAGTGGCTGTTGGCCAGATTGGGAACTTCCTGGCGTATACTGCAGTTCCCACAGTCCTGGTGACTCCTCTGGGTGCCCTTGGAGTGCCTTTTGGGTGAGAATTGAGATTATCTATTTTTACATTTGATGCGCAGCTTAGATATAAAACCTTTTTCTTATTATTTTAAATGTTTCTGTTTTGTTTTGTCTTAAGTGATATAACTGTCATCCTAGCTATTCAGGAGGCTGAGAATTGAGGATCTCAGTTCAAAGCCAGCCTGGGAAGGAAAGCCCATGAGACTCTTATCTCCAATTAATCACAGAAAAAAAAGCTGGAAGTGGCACTGTGGCTCAAGTGGTAGAGTGCTCGCCTTGAGCAAAAAGAGCTCAGGGACAGCACCCAGGCCCTGAGTTCATGCCCCACAATGGACCACTCCCCCCAAAAAAAATTGTATAGCTGGGTGCCAGTGGTTCACACTTGTAATCCTAGATATACTTGGGAGACTGAGATCTGAGGATCCCTGTTAAAAGCCAGCTCAGGCAGAAAAATCCATGAGGTGTTTACATTCAGTTAACCACCAAAAAGCTGGAAGTGGAACTGTGGCTAAAATGGTAGAATGCCATTCTTGAGTGAAAAATTAAGGTACAGTGCACTGAGTCCAAGCACCAATATTGGTACAAGTTTTTTTTTTTCTCTCAAGTAGTATAATTTTATGTTAAGATAGGTCTTTGTTATTCTAGTCTGTATCATTTAACTCTTTTCTTAGCATTTAGTGTCTTTTACATTCTAATTTATTCATGGTTATCACTGAATCTGATTGTATTCACTTTCCTGGATTTTGTCCTGGAAAACTTCTTCAAGTCTTCTTGATACTTGGGTAAGTTATTCTGAGAAATCATTAAGCACAATGAGTCAGGTTTTTGTTTTTTTCCTTTTATTTTCTAAATTGTTATTATAAAGGAGATATACAGAGGGGTTATAGTTATATGTTAGGTAAACAGCACATTTTTTTTCTTTTTTGGTTAGTTGTGGGGCTTGAACTCAGAGCCTGGATTCTGTTCCTGAGCCTCTTTGTGCTCAAGGCTAGTTCTCTACCACTTGAGCCACAGCACCACTTCTGGTTTTTGAGTGGTTAATTGGAGATAAGAGTCTCATGGGTACTATTCTGCCTGGTCTGGCTTTGAATGTCAGTCTTCCCATCTCAGCCACCTGAGTAGCTAGGATTACAGGCGTGAGCCACCAGCGCCCAGCTAAGAGTACATTTTTTTTTTGCACAGTGTCCTCCCTTCCTTTGCTCTCTCCCAGTCTTTACCTCCCATTCCCACCCATACAGTTGGTATGTTTATTTAGATGCTTAGCGTCTGTTGTTGGATGCTGAGCAGGCCCCCACATAAGTTCAGTGTGAGCCAGGTGATTTCCACACTCAAACTGAGATTCCTTGCAAGGCTGCATCTGCCTTTCGTCAAGGGTCCAAGAACTCCAGGGAAATCATGCAACCTGACTCAATATCCGGTTGTCAGGAGGTGAGGGGAAGGGGAAGAATGGAGACTTGAAGACCATTAGCTTTCAAAAAATCACAAGGGCCCCTCTTTATTAACTTATTCCATTTTCTGTTGCTGTCACAAAATGCCAGAGACCGTGATTTTTTTTTTTCAAGAAGAGGGCTTATTTTAGTTTATGGTTCTGGTTGTTGTAGAGTCCAAGACTGTATAGCTGAGTTTTGTGCGGGCCCCAAGCTGCTTTAATTCTTGGCAGAAAACCAAGGTGGCGCGGGGACTCACATTTTAATAACCCACTCTTATGGTAACCAATCCAGTCCTGTGACAGCTGCATTAATCTCTCTTAATGACCAAATCACCTCTTAAAAGCCTTACCACATCTCCATAGTGTTACATTGTGAATCAAATTTCAGCACAAGTGTTGGCAGGGACAAACCACATCTGAACTTGGCTAAGTGCAACAATGACTTTGTGAGACATTCATTAAGTAGATTGACACACTTTCTCTTGTGAGTTATATCTTTACATTCCACTTTCCCTTTGAAGAAATCATGGTTAAACAGAGATAGGTGCAATGAAAAATGAGATCTAACTTTGTACTTCTTGTTAGTTTTCAGCTGTATTCTGGACAGATCACTAAGCCCTTGCATACAAGTCTATCTATGATGAACATATTTATGTTTATGTTTTCTATTAAGAACATTTTTATGTTTATGTAAACATATAGTATATATAAATATATATTTATTTATTTAAATTCTAGCACGATTGGCTCATATTAATTATCCTAGCTACTCAGGAGGTTGGTATCTGAGGATCACAGTTTGAAGCCAGTCAAAGCAGAAAGTCTGCAAGACTCCACAGTTAACCACCAAAAAGCTGGAAGTATAGGTTTGGCTCAAGTGGTAGAGCACCAGCCTTGAGCAAAAACACTAATCAAGAATGTTAGGCCCAAAAGCCAAGCCCCACAAAAATGAAACACAAACAAGAAGAGAAAGGACAGTTGTTCTATCTTGCTGTGTAATGTATGGCAAGGAGGCTGCATCAGAATTGGGCAGATGCTAGTGTTAGGCACTTGAAGACATCTCAACTTCTAGAAATACTAGCTAAATAAACCTCAATTCTTTGCAATAGTAGTAGTTGTTTTGCCAATCCTGGGGATTGAATTCAGGGCCTGGGCACTGTCCCTGAGTTTTTGTGCTCAAGGACTTGAGCCATAATGCCACTTTTGGCTTTTTCTGCTTAGGTGGTACTGAGGAATCGAACCCAGGGCTTCATGAATGCTAGGCAAGCACTCTACCACTAAGCCATATTCCCAGCCCTATTCTTTGTAAAATTACCCAGTTTGGGATGTTCACTTCCAGCAACAGAAATTTGACTAAGACAAGACTTTCATCATTAAAATCAGCAATAAAATGGGGAATATTATTACCGACCCTGTAAAGAACTAAAGAACTCTGCACACTTATGAAAAATGACAAGCCAGCAATTTAGAGCATTTAGATGAAATGGAAACATTCCTAGAAAGACAGAAACTGACTGAAACTGTTTCAAGAAAAAAAAAACAGAACATCTAACAGATTGATAACATTGAAAAAAGGTCAAACTATTCATTTAAAAAAGCTTGCCACAAAGAAACCAAGGCACAGATGGTTTCATGGTTAAATTCTGTCATACATTTGAAGAATACCAATTCTACATAAACTCCCCAAAATAGGAGAGGAAGAACTTTCCCCACTCACTCTGAGTCTACTATTACTCTAGCAACAAGACCAATAATTATAAATAAACTGCAAACTTCCTTTTTTTCTTCGTTTTTCTTTTATTGGTTGATGGTGGGGCTTAAAACTCTGGGCCCTAGTGCTGATCCCTCAGATCTACAGCTCAAGGCTAGCTCTCTACCACTTGAGCCACTGCACCACTTCCGATTTTCTGGTGAGAAAGGAATCTCATGGACTTTCCTGCCTGGGCTGGCTTTGAACCATGGTCCTCAGATCTCAGCCTCCTGAGTAGCTAGGATGACAGTTGTGAGCCACCAGCGCCCAGCCACTACAAACTTTCTTTTTGAAAGATAAATGGAGCTATCTCCCAAAGAAGGATTATATATCATGGATGACTGACATCCCAGGAATACAGGAGAAATTTAGAATTAAAAGAAAAAAAAAAACCTCCATCATTGGGAAGAGTAAGACAAGGGAATCACAAATTTGAGGCTAGCCTGAGCAACATAATGAGTTTGAGGCCACCTATACTGCATAGTAAAGCCCTGTCTCATAAAATTAAAAGGAGCTAAGTTCCAATGCTCATTCGTATCTGTTGTCCTAGCTACTTAGGAAGGTGAAAGCTGATTATCTTGGTTCAAAGCCAGTTCAGGCTAGAAAGTCTGTGACACCCTTATTTCCAATTAACACCAAAAAGCCAAAAGTTGAGGTGAGGCTCAAGTGATAGAAGCAATAACCTCAAGCAAAAACAAAAAAAAACAAAAAAAAAACTGTATATTGCTCAGGATCTAAGTTCAAGCCCCAGTATTGGCACATGCACGTATGTGCCCCCTGCAAGTATGTGCCCCTGCCAATGTTTTTAGTATTTGAGAACAATGATCAGCGATTCCTTCAGCCATACTAATTACTATCAGTATTTTCATACTTCCTGTTTGTGCATTTTCCACTTATTTTAAGTATAAATATATTTAAGTCATGTATTATAATTATTTTGACAATTTTCATACTTTCTCAAATGTTGTGAGATTTTGATTTATTTTTAATGTATTTAGTTGATGCTGGTCCTGGGGCTTGAACTCAGGGCCTGTACTGTCCCTGAGCTTTTGTGCTGTAGCCTGTCATCCTACCACTTGAGCCATAGCTCTACCCCTGGTTATCTGGAGTTTAATAAGATAAAGAGTCTCAATAGACTCCTGCCTTGGGCTAGCTTTGAGTCACAATCCTCAGATTTCAGATTCCTCAGCCTCTTGAGTAGCTGGAATGTGTGAGCTTCAGGTGTGAGCTACCAGTGTGTTTTGTTTTTATAAGTGTGTGTGTATGTTCTAGTTTAAGGCTTAAACTTGTTTTGGTGGTTAAATTGGAGCTGAGTCTCACTTTCCTGCTTGGGCTGGTTTTGAAACAGTCCTCAAATCTCAGTCTCCTGAGTAGCTGGGATTCCAGGTGTGAGCCTCTGGTTTCGAGCTAGGAAGCAATAACTTTGATCAGTCTTAACACTTTTTCTAATGTGCTATATTTCATATCTACTGAGATGACAATACAGTGTTAGGCATTAACTCTATAATAGCCATGCATGGAAATGGTTTGAAAATCCAGCTTTTGTTGGAATAACAACTTCAATAGATTACTAGTGTAGGGATTTTTTTTTCTGTTTTTAAAAACTAAAGATAGAGGCTACTAGGGTAAGGTTCTGGGTTCTATTCCTAGCACCACAAAAAGAAAAACAAAAACTTCTGGGTGCTGATAATTCATGTTCCACAGTCCTAGCTACTGGGGGTTGGAGAGCAAGTTCAAGGCCAGTGTGGGCAAAAGTTTGTGAGATCCCATTGCAACCAACAGTGGAATACATGCCTGTCTTCTCCACTACAAAACTGAGCTTGGGAGAGCTGAAGTTTCAGGCAGCCTGGGGGGAAAAAGCTAGGTGTGGTGACATGCACCTGTCATCCCAGCCACTGTGGAAACTTTAAATAGGAGGATTGCAGTCCAGGCAAGCCCAGGCATATAGAAAGACCACATGTCAAAAAAAGCAAGAGCAAAAAGGACTTAGAGGCCTGGCTCAAGCAGCAGAAGACATGCCTAGTAAGAACAAGGTCCTGAATTTAAACCCCATACAGCCCTCCAAAACCCTGAATGATAGACTAGAGACAGATATTACTCAGCAGTTGGTAGAGCATGCGTTTAGTACAAACAAGGCCCTGGCTTCCATCCTGAACATCAGAACAACAACAAAAACGAATTGGAAAATGGAATACAGCTTTAAAGAAAATGTAGATCATCTAGATTGTATCTGTAATTGGTAGAAACAGGTGAGATAGTTTGATTTCAACTGTAATGGTTTCTATTCTTTAATTGAAGGTCCATTTTAGCTTCTTATCTTCTGAAGGAAAAGCTCAACATCTTAGGCAAGTTGGGATGTCTGCTGAGCTGTGCAGGCTCTGTTGTACTGATTATACACTCCCCAAAGTCCGAGAGTGTCACAACACAGGCTGAGCTGGAGGAGAAGCTGACCAATCCAGGTAACTCTTTTCTTTTTCTCTTGTTTTTCGTTGTTGTTGGTGGTGGTCGTGGGGCTTGAACTCAGGGCCTGGGTGCTGTCCCTGAGCTCTTACGCTCAAGGCTGGTACTCTACCACTTTGAGCCACAGCTCCACTTCTGGTTTTTTGATTAATTGGAGATAAGAGTCTCACAGGGACTTTTCTGCCCGGGCTGGTTTCAAATTTCGATCCTCACATCTCAGACTCCCGAGTAGCTAGGATTACAGGTGTGAGCCACCAGCAGCCCGCTCAGGTAACACTTTTCTGACCAGGCTGCCAACATAATGAGCCCAGGAAGTCCATTCTGCTATTTCCTGGTAGGGCAGAAAAACAACTTCCATCCTGATTATATCTCCATTCTTTGATCTTGTGTGTGTGCATCTGTTGGCTGTAGGAAACTGTTCAGAAATGCCTTAAATCTGGCTGGCTGGCATGTGAGCCCCATTCAGAGTTAAGCCAAGGCCTGATTCTGTCCTGAGCCCTAAGTGCCTTCTCCTGCCTGCTTCCTTCCATGGCTGTCTCTCTGCACACACTTGGGACCTGGCATTCAGTATACTGTGCATCAGCTCTTTCCTTCCTCATTCTTCTGCCCAGCCTCCCATGGCACTCCCTCCTCACAGCACTCATTCTCTGGTCACCCCATCTCGTTTCTCATTGAATAATCTTCCTGCTGCTCCTGGTGCTTCACCTGGTGGTGAAGTGTCTGTCAGCTCTGCAGTGTCTCTCTTTCTCTCTCTCTGTCTTTCTACAGATGCGTAGGTCTGGGAGCAGAAACCTAGGGTATGTGTGTCTGTATGACATGTAATGCTTTTTTGAAAAATGCAATCAAAACAATGCAACACGCTTATAATTTCCTAAAGTACAGCTTTCCTCTAAATTATTTCCAGCAGATCATCCTGTGCTGCTAATTGACAATTTTACACAGAGCTGGTACAAAATATCTTCACACAGATGTCCCCAGAACACAAACTGTGAGGACCAGGGGACTCTTTTATAGTTCTCAACTGGCAGTGATGATCATAGAAACAAAAACATCTATTTTAAAAACAGATCCAGCTGATGATGCAACAATGAGAAGTACAAGTTGTCATGTCCAAAACGAGCTTTACAACGTCGGTGCGGGGGGGGGGGCGGGGGGGGGGGGGGGGGGGAAGGAGAAGGATTGGGATGGGGGGGGGGGGGGAGGCTGGGAAGGGATGGGAAGGGTAAACAAAGGAGGAGGCTGCAATGCTTGGTAAGAAATGTACGCATTATCCTGCCCATGCAATTGTAACCCCTCTGTACAGTTTGTTCACAAATAAAATAAAATAAAATTAAAAAAAAAATAAAAACAGATCCAGCTGGGCACTAGTGGCTCACACCTGTCATCCTAGCTACTCAGGAGGCTGAGATCTGAGGATTGAGGTTCGCAGCGAGCCTGGGCAGAAAATTCGTTCCAATGTGACTCTTATCTCCAATTAACCACTCAAAAACTGGAAGTGGTGCTGTGGTTCAAAGTGGTAGAGTATTTAGCCTTGAGCAAAAGAGCTCAAGGACAGTACCTAAGCTCTGCCTCATCACCTACCAAAAAAAAAAAAAAAAAAGAGTAAAAAAGGATAGGGAAGGGAGAAAGATGAGAATTAGTCGATAAGTTAGATGTGAGTGACCCGAAAGATTTATTTTGTGTAATTTCCAGAGGAAACTTAAGTGTGTGCAGTGGCATTCACCTATAGTCCCAGCTACTCCAGAGACTGAACAAAAAGAATTCCTTGAACCTAGGAGTTCAAGACCATCCTGAGCAGCATAAAACAGTACAAAACAAAATAGAAAAGAGAAAAAGAAAATCCATTTGTGTTTAACCTTAAAATCACCTTATATTGTTTTTGTTTTTATTTTTTTTATTTTGGTGTAGGTATTGGGGTTTGAACTCAGGCTTTGTACTCTTGCCTGGCTTCTTTGCTCAAGAATGGTACTCTACCACTTGAGCCACACCTCCTCTTTCAGGTTTTTGATGGCTAATTGGAGATCAGAGTCTCACAAATTTGCCTGCCCAGTCTGGCTTTGAACCAGGATCTTCAGGTTTCAGCCTCCTGAATAGCTAGGGTGATGGGCATGAGCCATCACCAGTGCCTGGCAACATTGATTTTTATTGTTGTTAAAATGGTACCTAGTCAGGCACCACTTTAGTTCATGCCTATAATCCTAGCTACTTGGGAGGCTGAGATTTGGGGATTGTTGTTTGAAGACAGGCCACGCAGGAAAGTCTGTGAGACACTTTTCTCCAATAAACCACTCAGAAAAAGCCGAAAGTGGTGCTGTGGCTTAAGGGGTAGAGTGCTAGCCTTGAGCAAAAAGCAGCTCAGGGACAGTGCCTAAGCCCTGAGTTCAAGCCCCAGGACTGGCAAAATAAATAAATAAATAAAATGGTACCAATAGAGAGCACTCTGTAACACATTTAGGACTTAGGACATTTTGGGGGTTCACGCTTTTATTGGGAGTCACAAGACAGGTGGCTTCCTGTCAATGGAGATGTTTATAGTTTCTTCAGCTACTCCAAACTTGGGCCCTGGTGGTCCTTGTGATGGCTAGCTCATTGGGGCTTATTCCCCAATGGGAATAAAATGGGAAGCTTCAGAGCATGGCCTTGTTGATTGGGATTCAGTTCTGCCCTTTCATGTGGCAGCCAGCCAGGAGACACCCTAGGTTACTGTTTGCGGTCTGTCTTGCAGTGTTTGTGGGCTACCTATGCATCGTGTTGCTCATGCTGCTGCTGCTCATCTTCTGGATTGCTCCGGCCCACGGGCCTACCAACATCATGGTCTATATCAGCATCTGTTCCTTGCTGGGGAGTTTCACAGTGCCATCTACCAAGGGCATTGGACTGGCAGCGCAGGACATCTTGCACAACAACCCATCCAGTCAGAGAGCCCTGTGCCTGTGCCTGGTGCTCTTGGCTGTGCTGGGCTGCAGTATCATCGTCCAGTTCAGGTACATCAACAAGGCACTGGAGTGCTTCGATTCCTCTGTGTTTGGAGCCATCTACTATGTAGTATTCACCACACTGGTCCTGCTGGCCTCAGCTATCCTCTTCCGGGAATGGAGCAACGTGGGGCTGGTCGACTTTTTGGGCATGGCCTGTGGATTCACAACTGTCTCTGTGGGGATTGTCTTGATCCAGGTGTTTAAAGAGTTCAATTTCAACCTTGGAGAGATGAACAAATCTAATATGAAAACAGACTAGGAGGCAAGCCAGGGGGTGGGGGGAGGGGGTTCTTGAGGAGCAGACTTGGAGCTGGTCTTTGGTCTTCGTTGGATGTAAAGTAGAAGAAACTGTCAATCTCTGTGTTCTGATGGTGGTCTAATAGACAATGGGGAGTCTGGCTTAACACCAGGACACAAACCCCATCCATCCCCTTGCAGCCCCAAGCTCCCAGTGGTTGTCTTGGGTATTATCTTTCTTTGATAAGACAGATTTCATTTTCATTAACCTGGAAGCTTTCATGACTACTCTTTCCTTTGGAAACATTTTTTTTAAACATGATTTAATCTGAATATTAAGATGAGCTCTTTTTAATTATAGTCTTTGCAGGAGGACAGATGTTCTGACATACAAGATGACTTTGGGAATGGGGAGGAAAATGTCTTGACATCTGGCTATGTATAGTAAATATGACTGAACTTGTGTTAGTTTGCCCTAAGCATGTAATAACCTTCACATACCTCATTCAAGTAAGAGGTATATGCATTGAATTGCTTTTAATTCTCTTAACAAACTGACTCTCTCTTGCACCCTGACACATTTTATTCGCAAGTAGAGAGAGAAGAGGTAACGAATGTGACGCAGTGTTCCATTGGCAGAATGACTTTTCAATAGCTCAAATCAATTTCAGTGCCTTTATCACTTGAATTACTCATTTGACTATTACTGTGTGTGTGTTTTCTTAGTTTAGAATAATGCCACTTCCTTGGTTAGACCTTAATATTTTAGCATTTAAATGACAAATATGTAAAGCAGTTAGAAATAAGACTCATTGGAAGATAATCAAAAACTATAGACACATTAGAGCAAATTGATCCATTTAGCATGTAGTTATTGTCCAATTAAAGACAACTGGTTAAGTAGCATGAGATATTTTATTTGCATTCAACCTATGTAACTGGGTATCAACATGACCCACATTCTTTTTCAGCAAGCTTTTGTGGCCATTCAAAAGATCAAAACTATTTAATTTGACATTGAAAGCCCTTTAATACAAGAACAAACTAAGGGACAAATCACATAAGATAGTTTCTACAAACTGGAGTACATAGTTTCTAAAAGAATTTCTGGTACAGGGTGAGGTGCTGGTGGCCCATTTCTGTAGTCTTAGCTACTAAGAAGGTTGAGATCAGAGGATCCTGGTTCAAAGCCAGCCCTGGCAGAAAAGTCCATGAGACACTTAACCAGCAAAAAACCAGAAGTGAAGGTGTGGCTTGAGTGTAGAATACCAGCTTTGAGTGAAAACACCAAGTGAGAGCATGGGGCCCTGAGTTGAAGCCCCAGTATCTGCGTGCACATGCGTGCGTGCATGTGTACACATGTGCACATACACAGACACTGGATTTCTAGCACAGATTAAAAACAATGTAGGTCTCTGGCTGTTGTTTGAAATGGTAGAACATTATAGAGTTCCTTGCCCAACATCCTTAAATTTCTTGAGTGTGTTCAGGGACCCATGTTCCATCCCTAGCACCAAACCAAACTTAACAAAAGAAATCCTACAAATAGACATTAGTTATGCCAGTATTTGGGTCAAAGAAGTCATTCTCCCGCCCATAGCCACTTTCCATGAAATTAAATCGAAGCAAAGCACGATGTGATAAAACTATTGCATCCCAATACCGTGGACCTCTCCTGCAATATTTTCTCCAAACAGGAAACTATCCTAAATTGAAACTATCCTAAATTAAGTGAAGTAGATCAGGTGAAGTAGAAAATGAAAGTTAATAATACTCAACTAAAGCTACCAAGTTAAAAATGTATTATTCCAGGCAAAAAGGACATTTCTAAAGACCAAAGGAATAATTTGTTAAATAGTTGAACAAAGAGACTAAATAAGATTAGTTTAGTTAACAGCACAAAGGAATCTGGTTGTCTGATGGCTTTGTTTATCAGTCTTTATGAACAGAAAATGTAGGTAATGTTCCTGGTTTATCAGTAATTTGGGAAGAGCACCAATTAAAATTTTTAAAGTTATGGGCTGGGAAGGTGGCTCAGTGGTAGAGTGCTTGCCTTGCATGCATGAGGCCCTGGGTTCTATTCCTCACATAAGCAGAAAAGGCCGGAAGTGGCTCTGTGGCTCAAGTGGTAGAGCACTCGCCTTGAGCTGAAGAGCTCAGGGACAGCTTCCAGGCCCAGAGTTCAGGCCCAATGATCGGCAAAAAATTAATGAAATAAAATAAAAATTTTTAAGTTAAAAAAGAGGCTTATATTAACTGATAGTTAAAAGTTCATTTTTTAAAAAACAGCTCTTGAAGGCTTTTTCAGTAGTTTTAAGAATAGAGGCTTTAATGTATTGACCTCAACACAACTGGAAAGTATTAGGTAGCAGAATCAAAATACTTACAGCCTATAAGTTGTTTCCTGCATACGGAGTTGGAGAAAGAAAACAGGTAGCTATAGAAGTATGAGGAAGTTCATAGTATAGAAATTATCTCACATATGTTTTGCATACATAAGATAATGTTATGCATTAATTTAAATGCCTCTATGGTATACTTTATATTTTAGTATACAACTATACCATGGATATTTAAAGAAGATAATTTGTTTCATCTTCTCTATGATTTTTTTGTTGTTTTAGGGAAAGACAAAAATCTCATGGTATTTATAGTTCATTTTTTTCCTAAAATGATGGGTCCTGGATTAGTTAACATCTTCCAAGTATATATCTGTTGAGCAGATTGTGGAAACACTAGATAAGACAAATGGCTTTTATTCCAAAGGGACAAAGTTATTATTTATGGTTAGGGTGTGTGAGACTAGCCTCCTAGACTGAGGTATAATGGTCTGATTTCCAAGTTTAATATAGAAGATCTGTATATTTAGATTTAATACCATTTATTTTTAATTTAATTATTGTTATTATAAAGGTGATGTACAGAAGGCTTACAGTTACATGAGTCAGGTAATGAATACTCTTCCTTTTGTATAGTGAATACTATTTATTTTTACAAATGCATTTAAAAATGCAAAGGCTGAAAGTGGGAGCTTCAGCAGTGAACCTAAAAAGACCCTGAGTTTACTGGTCTTTCCAAAAGCAAATGCTCATGGAATGTTTTTATTAGGTGTTAGGTTCTTAGATTTGTCAGAGATAAAAACCTAAATAATAATACAAGAAAGATACCTAATGCGTTCTTGTTTTCAAGTCTTTTCTAAAATCAAAGTGCTTTCTCTTGTGAAAAATCATGATTTGCAGAGTTACTATTGGTATACATTTAAACTGTTTTTTTCTTCTTCTACTTGGACAATGCCTTATTTTCTCATCTGAATCTTTGCATTTGAAAAGATTGTTTCCTGGGGTTGGAGGCGTGGCCCAGTTGGTAGAACATAAGCCAATGAGTGAAAGTAGCAGGTATCGAGTTCAAGTTCTGGTCTCAGACTTAAAAAAAAGAAAAGAAGCCGAGCACTGTTGGCTCAAGCCAGTAATCCCAGCTACTCAAATGGCTGAGATCTGAGCATGATGGTTCGAAGTCAGCCTGGGCAGAAAAATTCCCCTGAGACTCTTATCTCCAATAAACTACTCAAAAAAAGCCGCAAGTGACACTGTGGCTCAAGTGGTAGAGCGCTAGCTTTGAGCACAAAGAGGCCCAGGGACAGCACCCAGGGCCTGAGTTCAAGCCCTACCTGTGGGGTAGGCACGGGAAGATTGTTTCTGCCCAAGTCTAGGACCAATGAGAGATTCTAACCTAAACCTTGGTTCAGTATACCACCCAGGGAGCCATGTGTGGAGGTTTTGGAAAGAGAGTAGCATTGTCCTGCTTTTCAGGGGGCCTTGCTCACCACTCATAGTCATTATGGTCTTCTCAACTTACAATGCTAGTGACATATACTTTGTTGCTGTTCTTTGTTTAGCAATAAGAACTATTTCTGCTCAGATTCTCCAGTCAATTTGTCACACACAATTTGATTTTTAGAAGCTCATTCCAAGAGTAATATGTCAGGTCTTTGTTCTTCTCCATAGCCTTATGTATCTATTTTCTGAAAAGAAAGGAACACTATTCAAGGATATAGTTCCAATTCCTCTTCTTCTGAGATGACTCCTTCCCTGGTAAACACTCTCCTGAACTTTCTAAGGTCAGTTTCTAGACTACTGCAAAGTACTCAGATGCAGGGCCAATCAGATGTGTCCGAATTCTTGGACTACGGGACAGGTGCTGGTGATAGAGCCCATGTCCTGTTCTTTGTGTGTGCACAAGTATAGTCATTTTTGTTTATTTTTTTGGTATAGTGGTAAGGATTGAATCCAAGACCTGGCATAAACTAGGAGAGTATTTTATACTGAGCTCTACCCTAAATACTATCTGAGATTTCAATTCTCTCTTTCTTCTTTTGGCAAGGCCCCTAGCTTGATAGGCAAGTGCTGTACCTCCGAGTTCCATACTTAATAATTTCATGCTTAATAAGTCTTGATGGGTGATGTACCACTAATCTAGAATGGCAGAGAGACGCTTCATTGTCTCACAGAAACCATGCCCATCCCTCTTTTCTGACGCCTGTTAGATCTTGTTGAGACTTCTTCCTGTGACCTAGTGATGTTAGAAACAGAAAACTTCAAGACCATAGGCATGCGTTTCTGTGACCCGAGGAGTTGTTCTCAAGGTGTCTGACATCCAGGATTGTATGGAATCTTCATGTTCTGCCTTCTCAGGGACCAAAAATGTATCATTAGTTGCTTTATGTGCACCTTCCTTCCAATGGCATGGCTGTGTTCTGTTCTGTTCCTCCTCGTAGTCAGAGCTAGTCTGTTCATTCGAGTTGGCAAGAGAAAAGACGAGCTAGACCACCAGTCACACGACAAGCCAGCATATCCTATAACATACCTCAATTTTTTTGTGTGTTCCTCATTTCCACCTCACGATTATTACTGGCGATGATTTTTGAGAGTCTGTCCTTTAGCGCATGGGTAATTTTTCACTTCCGTCCAGATTCTTCTACATTCATTAAATGCTTAAAAAGATTAAGAAGAAACAAGAATGGGAATTTGGCCCAGTCCCACTATTCAAATTTTTATACACATTTCTGTTATCTATTAAATACAACAAAAGAATTGTATTTTAAGACTTTTCTTTTTCCTTTTATTGAGACAGAGTCTTTCCCAGGCAGGTCTTCATCTGGTGATCATTCTATCTCTGCCCTTCAAGTGCTGTCATTATAGTTCTTTGCCATCAGGCCCAGCTATTAGAAAATATAATTTTTGTTACATCAAAAAGTTGTATCCTGGTACAGGGCTCAGAGTTTAGAGTAGGAACTCCTCTGACCCACCAGTTTAATAAATGTAAGTTCTCCTTTAAAAAAAAAAATGTTACCTAGCTGGGTGCTGGAAACTTATGCCTATAATCCTAGCTACTCAAGAGGCTGAGATTTAACCATCACCATTTGAAGCCAGCCCAGGCAGAAAAAGAGACTTATGAAGCTCTTATTTCCAATTAACCAGCAAAAAGTCAAAAGTGGAGCTGGGGCTTAAGTGGTAGAGTCCCAACCTTGAGCAAAAAAGCCAAGGGACAGTACCCAGGCCATGAGTTCAAGTCCCAGGACTGGCACACACGAAACAAAGTTATCTAGTAAAAATTTATATTTAGTAGAACAATGATGAGAGAAATAAAGATCTATTGTAAGTATACCACAAATGATTAAATAGCAAAGCTAAGGAGGATTTCTGTTGTTTTTCCCTGAATTGTGCAAATATATGTGAGTTCACTTAACCTTTCTGTGCCTCAGTTTTTCTACCTCTAAAGGGGTGCAATGATTCTGTGAATTGTTCCTAAGAAGCTAGCCCTTTTAGCCATGTTTGGAAGCCTTGAGTGACAGCACTGTGCTCAGTACCGCTCTGGAAGTGAATGGCAGAATTCCGGCTGCACTGACCATGGTGCTCAGGCCAACGCTGTGGAGCATGCAGCTTTGAGCTCCGAGGAAGGAAAGGAAGTGCTAGATGTAAATTTGTGTGATTCCACGAGGCTTTAATTTTCCAATTTCTCTTTTACAGTGAAGGGTTCATCGAGACGCCTTTCACTCATAAACTGACATTTTGAATTTGAAACCCCTTTGTACAACTACTTAACGATAATAATAAGCTAGATGCTGGCTTATGCCTGTAATCCCTAGCTACTCAGGAGGGTGAAATCTGAGGATTGTGGTTTAAAGTCAGCTTAAGCAGAAACGACTGTGAGATTCTTTATCTCCAATTAAACACTGAAAAGCCAAAACTGGAGCCGTGGCTCAAGTGGCAGAGTGCCAGCCTTGAGCAAAAAAGATAAGGGACAGTGCCCAGGCCCTGAGTTCAAGTCCCAGTACTGACACCCACAGAGAAATGATAATAAAAATAATAGTAATATAAAGGAAAGGCCCATATATTCTTTTATAAAGAGATTGAACAGGGACTTTCAACAGCTGCATTGAAAGATCCCATTGTGAGAGTAAAGGACCACTAGGTCTGTGTTGTACAGATTTAATGACCTGTGAGATACATCCATTTTGTTGTATTGCATTTGTCCTGAATAATGCTAACTTCGTTTGTCCAAGCAATGGCATCTGTATGATGACCTCACACCAGGCAAATGTCAGGTGCCCCCACCCCAACCACTAGTGCCAAAGGGTCACCTTGAAAAATTCAAAGTATTTCCTTTACTTGTCAGAATGTATTCATTTGCCTTTCCTACCCCGTCAGTGTGCACTTTATAAAAACTTAAGGTTGTTGCTTTTCAGTGGTATTCCTGAATATTTTTGCCTTTTTAAATAACTTTTTTTCCCTAATGAATTGGAATATAATCATGAAGAGAAGAAGCGTAGATTTAAAAGTAATGTTAAATTGATTGTTTGCACAGAGTACTTTTTTCAGGGCGCTTCTAATTTGCATACATACCCACATATACCAATGGCTAAGACTTGCTTAAATTTTGCTTTCCAGAAGTAATCATAGCATGTTGTAATTGCCTTATGTAAATAAAAGGCTATTTATTAAGTTTTCCAATATTTATTAATCTGTATGTGTTTTAAAATAAAATAACTTATTTCTAGCTGAATACTTGTTGGTTGTTTTCATTTTTTGGAATTCTTGTTATAGTCTTGTGTTCCAAATCAACCCCGTTCCTCACATATTTCCTGCCTGTGCATGTTAAATCCATGAAATGTAAAGGCATTCATAATTCTGATCCAATGTGACAATATTACAGAAAACCCACTCTGTTTTAATACGCTAGTACCTTTTTCTTCTTCTTTTAACCAATTTTGAGTTGTGTATTTTAAGCCCAGAGAAAGTTAAAGAATTATAACTTATCTTAATACTCCAAGCATCATCAAAACTATTTTTGCCAGACTCCAGGTGGCTCACACCTGTTATCCTAGCTACTCAGGAAGCTGAGATCTGAGGATCCCAGTTTGAAGCTAGCCAAGGCAGACAAATTGTGAAACTATTATCTCAAATTAATCAGCATAAAACCTGGAAGTAGAGGTGTGACTCAAGTGGTAGAGTGCCAGTTGCTTTGGCTATTTTTGAGATAGGGTCTTACATTTGTGCCAGGTCAGTCTCTACTGTAATTCTCTACTCATACTTCCTACATAGCCAGGATAATAGGCACACTATACAACTTCTATTGTTCAAGGTAAGGTCTTGAGAACTCTTAGCCTAGGCTGGCCTCAAATGAAGATCCTCCAAATTTTAGCCTCCTTAGAAGCTAGGATTACCGGCATGAGGCACCCTGGCTGGCTAGAAATCTTGTTAATGTTTTTTTTTCTTCCTAGTGTCTTATAGATTGCTTTCCATTTTTATTTTTTGGTGCTGGAGCTTGAACTTATGGTTTTTTAGATGCTAAGCACACATTCTACTAATGTATCGACAGCTACAGTTAAATTTTACTTAATGAGAAAAATGTTTTCAGTGGCAATTTTTTTAGGCTCGTCCCTAAAGACTTTATGTGCATCTAATCAAAGTAGACTTCTCCAGGAATGAGGAACAAACATTTTTAAAAACCACAAAATGGGCTGGGAAGGTGGCTCAGTGGTAGAACGCTTGCCTTGCATGCCTGAAGCCCTGGGTTCGATTCCTCAGCACCACATAAGCAAAAAGAAAAAATCCGGAAGTGGCGCTGTGGCTCTAGTGGTAGAGTGCTGGCCTTGAACTTAAGAGCTGAGGGACAGCGCCCAGGCCCAGAGTTCAGGCCCCACAACTGGACCCCCCCCAAAAAAAACCCCACAAAATGTTTATAAAGCGAATCATTTCAGTTTTTGGACTGCTGTGGTTATTTTTTTTTAAAAAGAGGTCATGGACATTAAACGCAGGGCTTCATACTTGCCAAGCAAGTGCTTTTCCAGTTGAATGACACTCCCAATTCTTTTGCTTTATTTTCCTGTTCCCAGACTGGTTTTGAGAGCTGTGAAACGTGTAATTGGTAAATTCTGCATTCCTATCTGGTTCCTGCCAGGGAACTGATGGTTCTAGCTGCTTGCTAAGCACAGTGGTTATTCATTGTGAACTTTACACCTACTTCTGAAGATCACAGAAACCAGGCTCAGTGTAGAGCACTGGTGGCTCACACCTATAAAATCTTAGCTACTCAGGAAGCTGAGATCTGAGGATTAAGATCCAGAGCCAGCACGGGTAGACAAATCATCAAGTCTCTTCTCTCCAATCAGCTTGCAAAAAGCCAGAATTGATCCTATGATGGGTGAAAAAGCTAAGTGAAAAGTTTGAGGTCCTGAGTTAAAGCACCAATATTGGCACGCGCGTGCGCACACACACACACACACACATCACCACCACCACCACCAACAACAAAACTTATGCTAGATTTTTTTGTTGCTTAACCATGTTCCCTGATGACTCTTTGATGTGATATTGACATTTGTTGTAATGTTAGTCATGCTTGTGCACCATTATCACTATTAATTTTTTATGGTAGTCAGGATTGAACTCAGGACTCTAGTACAAAGTAAGTAGTGAATACTACCATCAACCTCTACTCCTAGTTCATTATATTGAACCTCACATAGTAGTTATTTATTTTTTAAAAAGGTGGGGATATGGTCAAGAAAATAGTTCTATAACTAGGTGCCACCATCTTTACTAGATTTCAGAGAAGAGAGGGATTTTTCAGCCTAGTATAGAATATAGGAGTGGAACATGAGCAGGATAGGAAGGATGCCAATAAGAGAAAGCATAACTTGTAAGGATAGAACAAAAGATAGGAAGAGATCAAACTAGGTTTCCTGTCTATGAAATTGCATTGTTTCATATTTCATGAAGATGTCTGGGAAACTATCTTCTGGGAAGTATCTTCTTACTGATTGTGGCATAAGCACTGTAGTGTGTAAGAAACAACTTGTTTTGCAAGGAAGTTGTGCCATATTTCTATCCCATGAGCAGTATATGAAAAAATCATAGGTTCTTTAATGTTGTATGTGTGTGTATGGTGGTGGTGGTCGTCCCAGGGCTTGAATTCAGGGCCTGGGTGTCATCCCTGAGTCCTTTTGTTTTTGGCTCAAGTTTGCACTCTACCACTTGAGCCATAACTCCACTTTTAGCCTTTTGGTAGTTAGTTGGAGAGAAGAGTCTCATGCACCTGCCTGTCCTGACTGGCTTTCAACAGCCATCCTCAGATCTCAGCTTTCTAAGTAGCTAGGATTTATAGGAGTGAGCCACCTGTGCCTGGCCGCAAATCATAGTTTTAAAACTTTAAAAGTCTCCTATGATCAGTGCTTGAGAAGTCACAGTATATAAGATGCACACCATCTGTGCTGGAGAAGTGACTTAGGCATTCATGGAGGAGGAAGGCATCCCTTCATCTAGGAAGGAATTTACACAGTGACGCCCCCCCCCTGCCCCACCACTATGCAACGAAGGTTACAGTACCAATTAGGAGGTCCAAATAATGTGAGAGGAGTCTATGGGCTACATTGATGAGAGTCAGCAGATTAGATGACTAGGGCATAGGCAGAGGTGTGGGGGGGGGAGAAAGAGAGGGACGGAGAGAGAGCGAGGAGGGAGGGAGAGAGAAAGGGAGAGGGGGAGAGAAAGCAAGCTACAAATAAATTAATTATTAAGTTTAAATGCTGTTCTAGCCAGGCACCGATGGCTCACACCTGTAATTCTAGCTACACAAGAGGCTGAGACCAGATGATCGCGGTTCGAAACCAGCTTGGCAGGAAAGTCATAAACTCTTACTTCCAAGTGACTACCAAAAGGCCAGAAGTGGAGGTGTGGCTAAAATGGTAGTGTTTCAGACTTAAAAGACAAGGGACGGCACCCAGGCCCAAACTCACACACACACACACACACACACCCAGCCCCAGGCTCTCACACACACACACAGCCCCAAGCTCTCTCTCTCACACACACACACACAAAGCTCTCTCTCTCTCTCACACACACACACACACACACACCCAGGCCCAAGCTCACATACACACAAACACCCAGCCCCAGGCCCAAGCTCACATACACACACACACACACACACAAAGCTCTCTCTCTCTCACACACACATACACACCCAGCCCCAGGCCCAAGCTCACATACACACACCCAGCCCCAGGCCCAAGCTCACATACATACACACACACACACACCCAGCCCCAGGCTCTCTCACACACACACAGCCCCAAGCTCACACACACACACACACAAAGCTCTCTCTCTCTCTCTCACACACACACACACACACACACTCACCCAGCCCCAGGCCCAAGCTCACATACACACAAACACCCAGCCCCAGGCCCAAGCTCGCTCACACACACACACACACACACACACAAAAGCTCTCTCTCTCTCTCTCTCACACACACACACACACGCACAGCCCCAGAAGCCAGCGGCTCAGGCCTGTAATCCTAGCTACTCAGAAGGCTGGGCAGAAAAGTCGGTGGGATTCCATCTCCAATTAGCAAAAAAGAAAAAAGCCGGGGTGCCTAGAGACCCCAAATTCTAGCCCTGCATCGTTGTCTGTCTGGGTGGTAGGACCTACATTAATCTCTCCAAGCCACGGGTGCCAAGCAGATGGCCTGCCTGCGTTCCCCGTCCGTCCCGGCAGCCGGGCCCTGGCGGGCCATTCCGTTCGCGTCACGCCGTCCTGGCCCCGCCCCCTTCCCTCCCTCATCCAATCACCGCTTCTCCTAAGCCGTTTCGCCAATCCCGTTTCGGAAGCGCCTACACACGCTGAGCTCCCTGAGGAATCCGCATTCTAAGTTAAGTGCTGTCCCGGACTTGGATCCTGATCGTTTGGTGGATAAATGCCACCTCGAGAAATGAGAAAATTTCTCCTTTCCGTGGCCAGCCCTCCCAACATGGGTCTAGTTAAAGAAAAACAAAACAAAAAACAACCCGGAACTCAGTAGTTGGGAGTGCCGGGAGGGGGGGGCGTGGCCTGCGGCGCCCGGTACTGCGCGTGCGCCCCAGGCCGGCCTCTTGCGTCAGGACGGCCTCTTGCGTCACTCGGCCGCGCCCAGGTACTCCTCAGCAGCTGCCGCCAGTGGCCCGCGGTGGCGGCGCGGGAGCCGGAGGTCTTCGTAGATTTCTCCGGGCGCTCCCATGGAGCAGGCGGCGAGGACGGCAGCGGCTCCGGATGTTCGCATTTCCCCTCGGACGGCGACGAAGGCGGTGGCGGCGCGGACGCTGGAGGAAGCGGCCTGTTCGGGGGTGTGAGCGGAGGCGCCCGGGGCCGGCCTGTCCTGCGGACGGGGTGAGGTGCTACTTCCGTTCTGGCAGCGCCTCCGGCCGACCTGTAGGCCCGCGGCCCAGCTGAGGGCGACCTGCTTCCCCACCTGTTCCTTCCGTGGGGTGGGTCACGTTGCCGCGCCGTTCATCCCTCGTGGGCTCCGTCCGGGCCGCGTGTTCTCCCAAGTTCTCCGCAGTTGTTGTCTGTGGCTTGGTGAGTTTTACACGGTAGCCTGCCGTAACGTGTTAAACATGTCTGTGAGCTTTTCTAATACGAGACTCGATGAACTTTTAAGGGATTTGTTGTCTGTTTGTTTATGCCTCTTGAATCCTTTTCCACAATGCCAGTTCATTTTATAACAGGACTACATCTTAAGTTCTTTTTCTAGAAACTCTCGATAAATCACATGTCCTTTCAGTGAGCTTTCTTAGGACTCCCCACCTTTTCTGAGTATTAAGAGGAAATGAGAGAATAGAGTTTTTTTTTTTTTCCCTTGCATAAGTCGTGTGTGAGGCTCGATTGAATGGGTTTGGTGTTATTTGAGAAAATCAAATGGGTATAGAGGTTGTTAACTATGTTTTCAAGAATTTTATTCATTTCTTTTGCTTATATTTTGTTGTTGTTGTTTTTTTTTTCCAGGGTGGACCTACTCAGCCAACCCTGTACATCTTAAATGGGAATAAAGAGTAGCATTTCTAAGGAAATGAAAGTGAACAAATCATCTCTTCTTTTCAAAAGAGAGACCGTGTTGAATGTACATGTAAGCTAACATTTGCTTTATAACTGTTGTTAATCAGGGTTGTTGATTATGTTTTTAGTACTTATAAGTATAGATTTAATAATAGCCAAAAGTTTGAGAAAACAAGATTGGCATAGATAACTGAAAACAATTTAGAAGACTGAGAACTAAGTTATAGAAGTGAATGTGGTAGCACACTTCTGCAGTCCCAGCCCTTGTAAGAGTCTTTAAGTTTTTTTGTTTTTAGTTGTTTTTTTTTTTTGAATTTTAAGTTCTTAGTTGTAGAATCTTTGAGGATAGGGAAATTTAATCATCTTTAGAATTCCCAAATCCTGACTGTTCATGAATAACACCTGGGAGCTGTGTGCTTATCTTAGGCTCTTGAGAGGCAGATTGGGTAGGTTATCAACTAGAGATTGTCATGTTTGGTTTGGAAACCTGGTTGGAATGAAGTATAGTACAGTCTTTCATTGCTTGATTTTCTTTTTCTTTTTGTGGTGGTACTGGGGTTTGAACTCAGGGACTGCTTGCTAGACAGGCTTTCTGCCACTTGAGCCATGTCCCATACCTGTTTTTACTTGTTTGGATAGGTTTGCTGTGTACAGGGGCCAGTCTTAGACTTCAGTTTTTCTACCTACGCCTCCCATCTTGCTGGGATCACAGGCATATGCCATCATACCTACCTTATTTTGTTGAGATGGAGATCGTGCCTAACTTCTTTACTTTGACCAAACTGTGATCATCCCAATCTGTTACATTCTGTTCATGCTGGAATTTCAGGTGTGAGTCACCTTGCTTGGCTTTTTTTTTTCAGTGACTAGGATTGAACACAGGTCTTCACATCTGGTGAGCAAAGTGTTTTACCACTGAACCACATTCTCAGCCCTGAAATTTAGGAAGTTTTCGTTGTTAACGTCTCTCTGTCTGCCTCTGTCTCATATCTAATCCTTTTTTTTTTTTTTTTTGCTGGTCCTGGGGCTTGAACTCAGGACCTGTGCTCTGTCCCTGAGCCTCTCTGTGTAAGGCTAATGCTCTACCACTTGAACTATAGAGCCACTTCCAGCTTTTTCTGAGTAATTTATTTTCCAGCCCTGCCCGGGCTGGAAATGGCGATCCTCAGATCTCAGCCTCCTAAATAACTAGCATTACAAATGTGACATGCACCTGGCTGTGGCTAATCCTTAAGAATAAAAAATGTCTGTATCATAGGTTCTCCCAGCTGTAGTTGAGAATGGGAGCAGAACATTACCAGGTATGGGGTAATGAAGCAACCCATTCAGTACATTCACATTGATGTTTTATTTTCAAACTGCATATCCAAATAAGTTTTTTTTTTTTTTTTTTAGTTTAGTGACTGAATTCTGCCTTAGAATTTGAAAGACAAAATTTATGTAGTATGTTACTCCCCTCCAGTGCCACTTACATATGTTAGTGTACTTTTTTTTTTTTTTGGGTCCGGTCGTGGGGCCTGAACTCTGGGCCTGGGCGCTGTCCCTCAGCTCTTCAGCTCAAGGCTAGCACTCTACCACTTGAGCCACAGCGCCACTTCCGGCTTTTTTCTCTTTGCTTATGTGGTGCTAAGGAATCGAACCCAAGGCCTCAGGCATGCAAGGCAAGCACTCTACCACTGAGCCACCTTCCCAGCCCTGTTAGTGTATTTTTTATGAATAAACAAACAAAAAATAATCGTAGTTCCAGAAAGCCTTATAAATCAAATTTGAGACCTTAAATAAGTGCCTTTTTTGGGGGTGGGGGGAAACGACCACAAAAACTCATCAAGTAATTGTCTTTAGGGAACTTATGGAGTTTATCTTTGAAGATGGAACAGTAATTGAAAGTTAACTTTATATGACTGAATAAAAACAGAGAAGAGGGCTGGGAAGGTGGCTCAGTGGTAAAGTGCTTGCCTTGCATGCATGAGGCCCTGGGTTTGATTCCTCAGCACCACATAAGCAGAAGAAACTGGAAGTCGGGCTGTGGCTCAAGTAGTAGAATGCTAGCCTAAGCTGAAGAGCTGAGGGACAGTGCCCAGGCCTAGAGTTCAGGCTCCACGACTGGCGGAAAGAAAAAGAAAGAAGACAAATTACAGTGAGCTAGGCTTATTGGAGATGTCTGTAGCACTGCCTGACGTGTGGCCTGACTTTGAGCCAACGGCAAACCTCAGGGAGTTGAGGATGAGGGAATGAGCCACAATCTGTTATAGAAAGAGAGGAGAGGGTTGTGGTGTACTTCAACAGGGAAGATGCTTGTAATTGATGTCAGGTTACTGGGTTGGAAAATGATGTGGGCTGGAGAAAAGTGGCCTGGCTGTGAAGATTTTCCAGAGTCAATACATCCCATGACTGATAAAACTGGTCCAAAACCAGTCTCTTCGTTTGAAATTTTTTATGTTGCATAAGTAAAGATAAAAGGAAAGGGCTGGGAGGTGGCTCAGTGGTAGAGTGCTTGTCTTGCATGCATGAGGCCCTGGGTTCGATTGCTCAGCACTACATAAGCAGAAAAAAAAAAGCCCGAAGTGGCACTGTGGCTCAGGTGATAGAGCACTAGCTTTGAGCTGAAGAGCTGAGTCCAGGCCCAGAGTTCAGGCCCACGACCAGACCCCCCCCAAAAAAAAACAAAAAGATAAAAGGAAAGGGAAAAGTAGATATTTAAATACTGTATGGAATGTTAATTGTGGAGACATTAATATATAATCAATGGTAAAAGAAGGAACACTGAATCTTTATTGATCTTAGGATGAAATGAAAAAAATTCTATTATATGCATTGTTTTCGTGTTGGTTGGGGAGGGATTCTTGCCTGAGGACACTGCACTGGGCAGGTGAGATGGACAGCAGTTTCTTGTTCCTAGCCCAGGAGAGGGAAGTTGTTGTGAACTATGCTGACCTTCTTGGGGGCTTTGCTCTGAATGGAGGGAGGCTCTAGTGGCTCTGTGGTAGTGGGAGTACCTTTCAGTTTCTGAGGAAAATGTGGTTGATTGCTTTGATATTCTTTGGGCTGGCTGGGGAAGTGAAGCCTACTATATAAAGATAAATGGAACTCTGACATTGCCTGGTTGCCTTGATAAGGAGATGTTACGAAAGATCAAGGGGAAGAAAGGAAAGAAGACAGACCTCAGTATGTCAGAGCAGGATTTAATCATCTCTGCAGAGGGGCACTAAGTAGTAGGGAACAGAGTTGGAGATACAAGGAGCGAGGAGTACAGTGGCTTTAGGGTTTAAATACAGTCGGGCATGAGAACTTTGGGTTTGAAATGTCTTTGTAGTTGTAGCAGAAGGTCCTGTTTTGGATTTATGTTGTCTTGGCAGCTGTAGCAGATGGTGAACTGAAGTTTTGCTGAGAATAATTTAAGGATAGGAGATTTCTAGGAAGGGCCCCCAGGTGAGAATGGTCTGTGGCCCAGGAGCAACATTGAGTTAAGAGATCAAGGCAGCTTCTCATCAAGAGGCTTGTTTGGCTTTCGGTTCAGATCCACAGAAGTAGAATGGGGAGGGAATTTATTGTGAGGCAGTTGCAAACTCTCAAGGCTTTAACCAATGTCAGGGCAAGGTATAATGTCGGTCCTTTAATTAGCTTATAATAGAACAGTGTTATCATTGCTATTCTACCACTTATGTTCACACTATTCCAATCTTACCCTCTCTGTCACTCAGGTTTTTGTTTTTTGTTTTTAAGATAGGATTTCATTTTGTAGCTACTCTTGATCTCAATACTCCTGCCTCAGTCTCCAGAGTTCTGGGACAGAGTCTCGTGTTAGTCTTCTAGAGTGCTACCATATGCATGTCTCACATATTATAGATTTTATGCTATATGTAACTTGCTTTTAGTGTAAATGAACAGTAGTTGGCAAATATTACTGTTATCTGTATATTTGGTATTTGAAATTCAAGATTTTATAAGTTAAGTCTGAATTTGTAAAGTGTTGTACTGGGATTAGAATTATAGATAAAACTCACTTATAAAAAACTCACTTATTTCTGGGGCATCAACTTTGTAGAAGATTAAGTTCCATTTTACTGATTTTGGACTATTTAGTCTATAGAACTGATTTATTCATGCCTTCAGTAGCATGATTTTTTTTTTTTTTGCCAGTCCTAGATCTTGAACTCAGGGCCTAGGCACTGTCCTTGAGCCTGTGTGTGCTCAAGGTTAGCACTCTACCACTTGTGCCAGTGCCACTTCCAGCTTTTTCTGTGTATGTAATGCTGAGGAATCAAGCCCAGGGCTTCATGTATGCTAGGCAAACACTAAACCACATTCCCAGCCCCAGTAGCATGATTTTTTAGCCACTGAACTTTAAAAAACTTACAGTGAAGCTGGGTGATGGTGACTTACACTTATAATCATGACTACTCAAGAGGCTGAGACTTAGAGGATTATGGTTTGAACCAAGTCCAGGAAGAAGAATCTGTGAGGCTCCAACTCCTTTTAACTAGTAAAGTGCTAGACTGCAGACATGGCTCAAGTGGTAGAATACCAACCCTGAGCAAGAAAGCTGAGCGAGAGCCTGATGCTTGTGAGTTCAAGCTCTGGTATTAGCACAAAGACCAAAACAAACGAACTCCATAACTTAAAATGAGAGCTAGAACTGTCAAGTAGTCATTTCCTCAGTAGAACTTACATAGTAATTAAGAACATTGCCTCGTGAAGGTAATGATGAAAGTATGATGATATTTTTAACATCTTTTGATCTTTTTTATTTTTGTTTGCTTGGAACTTTTTTGTATGCTTGAGGCTCAAGCCTTTACATCAGATGATCTGCAAGGATGCTTTCAGTAAAGTGAAATGACTCTTGATAATTAGAATGTACCTGTCAAGAGGGTTGAAGGGTCTGAGTAGCTAGAGTTTTTTAACTATAATTTGCCCAGGCTCTACAACCAATGTTCTTAGATTTTTTGCTTGGATCTTGTATTATTTCCTAGTTGTTGTTTTGTTTGTTTGTGTCGATTGTGGGGCTTGAACGCAAGGCCTGGGTGCTGTCCCTGAGCTCTTCAGCTCAAGGTGAACACTCTACCACTTGAGCCACAGCACCACTTCAGGTTTACTGGTGGTTATTGGAGATAAGAGTCTCACAGACTTCTTGCCCAGGCTGGGTTTGAACCACGATCTTCAGATCTCATCCTCCTGAGTAGCTAGGATTACAGGCGTGAGTCACCAGTGCCTGGCTTTTCCTAGTTTATTTTTATAACTTGTTATAATTCTCTAGTTTATAGGCTGTAAAATGCTGGCTACATTTTAGGATGCTAATGTAAATAATGAAGTGGTTTTCTGTGTATTAATGGATACTAAAGCATAGGCAACTATTTTTCAGGGATAGTTATCAATCATCCAAATTGTGCTAGAAAACAAATTATTAAAGCCTTTTTTTTTTTGCCAGCCCTGATGCTTGGACTCTGGGCTGGGGCACTGTCTCTGAGCTCCTTGTTGCTCAAGGCTAGTGCTCTGCCACATGAGCCACAATGCCACTTCTGGGTTTTGGGGTGATTATTTGGAGATAAGGGTCTCACAGATTTTCCTTCCCCAGGCTGGCTTTGAACCTTGGTCCTCTAATCTCAGCCTCCTTAGTAGCTAAGATTACAGGCATGGAACCACTAGTGCCCAGTAAGAATCTTTTTTTTGAGACTGTCAGATAACTAGGTGTAGGCTTAAAAGATGAGCAATAAGCAGGATGGGTCTAGGAACTTACACTTTTATGAGGAAAGCTGGCTCATAAACACAGGTAATCTAATCATGTAGGGTGTGGCAGTTGCAGTTTAAGCACACTTCTTGTTTTTTTTTGGTTATAATTCTCATTGTATATAGCTATGGTTACCTGTTTTTTAAAAATATTTTTTGGGTCTGGTCGTGGGGCCTGAACTCTGGGCCTGGGCACTGTCCCTCAGCACTTCAGCTCAAGGCTAGCACTCTACCACTTAAGCCACAGCACCACTTCTGGCTTTTTTCTTTTTTTTGCTTATGTAGTGCTGAGGAATCGAACCCAGGGCCTCATGCATGCAAGGCAATCGCTCTACCACTAAGCTACCTTCCCAGCCCTGGTTACCTATTTTTTTAGTTTTTTAATTTTAATTTTTTGTCTTGTCTTTTTTGGTACTGGGGATCAAACTCAGGAAATTGCACTTGCTAGGCAAACAAACTGAGCTACCTCCTAGCCTTTTCTTTCTTTTCTTTTTTTAATTGTCCTCACTCTGCCTGCATGTGTTTTCATATCTGCAATTAATTGATACAGTTAGGAAGGGCATGCTGAAGTTCAGCTGTGGCTTGAGATGACCAGTGTTTGGCCCATAAAAAGGCTGGCACTTTAGATTATTTTGTTTTTCTTTTCTTATAGTGTCTGTTGTGGTTGTGACTCATCCAGGGTCAAATACCAGCTAAAGGCAGGACAGAGTCGCTGAATTCCCCACCTTATGTCATCATCTTGCCTTAGGAGCTGCACATGTAGGACTAGAGACACTTGACCAAATCCCTTGAGAGAAAGAGTAGTTCTGGAAAGATTCAAGACTGCTTCTCATGCCTGTTAAACTGATTCTTGGAAAACACAGCCCATTTCTGACCTAGGTTTCTTGTCTTCTTCCCATGTTGCGGTGTGGTCCTAGATTCTTGCTTTTGGGCACTTGGTTGTGTTCTTTCCTCATATCCCTACTACTCCTCAGCATGGAAGAATATGTTTTAAACCTTTACTGTAGACATTAGAAGTTCCCTATGTATCCTATGTAGTCACAGCTTTTCATTGTGGTCCTGTTTTCTACATGCAAGTTATTGTTTTAAAGCATACCATATGGATTTTTTTGGTAGAGCTTCATACTTGATAGACAGGTGCTGTACTACTTGAGCCATGCCTCTGTCCGGAGTGGGTTTTTTAATTTAATTTTTTGATAGTTGCTCCATCTTATACATGCAAGGCAAGTGTTCACTGAGATACATGCCCAACCCCATTAACTTTAGAAACCTTGTTAGCCATCTAGATGACATATAGGAATGATCTTTTTTGAAGATCAGCTAAAATAATTCTGTTCTATGCATTTCTTTCTTTTGTAATCTGTGTTGCTCACATGCGAGCAAAAGCGTGAGAGGTTTCTATAGATCCATACTTAACAACAGGCACTTTGCTAAAGTTGTTTCCAAGTGACCTGAGCAAACCTAGTTGTGTGTATGCGTGTGCGTATGCATGCATGCATGCATGCATATGCCAGTCCTGGGGCTTGAACTCAGGGCCTGGACATTGTTCCTGAGTTTTTTTGCTCAAGGATAGCACTCTATCACTAATTCACACCTCTACTTTCAGCTTTTTGGTGGTTTATTAGAGAGAAGAATTTCACAGACTTTGATGTCCAGGCTAGCTTCTAACTGGGATCTTCAGATCTTAGCATCCTAAGTAGCTAAGATTATAGGCATGAGCCTACTGGCTCCCACCTAACACCTTATGCTTTTTCTGGAGTTATAGTAACTCATTGTTACAAAGCTGTATTTATTACTGAATGTTATTAGTATTTCTCTTTGGTCTTTTTGTCTGTCTCCCTGCTGAAGACTAAAAGTCATTACTTTTGGTGTATATGTTGTGTGGTGCTAGGGATCAAATTCAGGGTTTTCTGCATGTTAGGCAAGCACTCTTATCACTACATTGCTGGCCAAAAATAAGCATATTCTTGTTTTGTCTCAAATGCTCCGTATAATACTTGCCACAAACAACATGTACCTAATAAATACTGTTGAAATAGAAAAAGTAATTTTAGAGCTGAGCTTGGTGTTATATATCTGTAATCCCACCACTTAGGAAGCTGAGGTAAGAATATTATTAAGTTCAAAGCCAGCCCGGGCTCCCTAGCAACACCTTATCTCCAAAATTAATCAGCTGATAAAAATCGATTGATCGATAGGTAGTAATTGTGAGGACAGGAAGTTGAATTGGGTTGTTTAAAGGCTAGAGTATAACTTAAGCTAAGGAAAATCTGGCTAGATAATGAGGATCCTGACTGAACTTCAGGTTAGTTATAAGATTTGGTAGTTAAATTATAGGACTAAAAATCCCAAGGTGTGCTAAAAAGTTTGGATTGACATGTGTAAGCAATCATAGCCCTGGTTGCTTAATATGATTTCTATTCTCTGCACTCCATATTTATCAACAGAGTTCATGAGTTGGCCTGTTTGGGGGAAAAGTATACAGTGTGGTAAACCTATGCTTTCTGGATTAAGCTTACCTCAGTCCTCCTATTTACCTAGATTCAACAGTACCATATCCCATACACTAGCAGACATATTTACTAAAATCATCATCTTTTGCTCACAAAGTGATTGTTTTCATTAATTATTTTAAATTCTTACTTAGTTTTAATTGTGACAGTGTTGGGGTTTCAGCTCAGAGCCTCATTTGTTAGTCAGGTGATGACCCATGTTCCTAGCTACTTTTGCTTTAATTATTTTTTAAAGAAAAATCTTGCTCTTAGGCCAGCCTCCTATTTATGTTTCTTATGTATTTGGGATGACAGGTGTACCACTATGCTCAGCTGTTTAGATAGGAGCTCTTGAACTTTTAAATACTGGAAGCTGGCCTAGAACAGAGCCTTCTACTCTTAGCCTTCTGCATGGTTGGGATGTTAGACATGTACAGTAATGCCCAGCTGTTGGTTAAGATAGGGGTCTTTCATACTTTTTGCCCAGGAGGACTTATACTTTTGTGCCTTCTGATCTACACCTCCTGAGTAGTTAAGGTTATAGGCATGAGCCACCAGTGCCCAGCTATTCTTTATGAGAAAGGAAATGTGAAGTAAAAATTTGAATTTGTGTCGTGTCATGATTGTTATATGAAAATCCCATTGTATTTTGTGTTTAGATTTGAAGACTGCATCATCCTGCCTCTAGTACCAGCAGTTTCTGTATTCTCTGATCAATGTGATTCACAGGAAGTTCTTAAGTAACAAACGAAATGAGCCCGGGTCGTGGAAAATATGACTTTTATATTGGTCTGGGATTGGCTATGACCTCCAGCATTTTCATTGGAGGAAGTTTCATTTTGAAAAAGAAAGGCCTTTTGCGACTTGCCAGAAAAGGTTCCATGAGAGCAGGTAGGTTTTGCCCTATATGATTTGAAATGACATCATTGTGTGCTTACATACTGTAGAAGGACATGTCTTCGCTCCTCATAAGCGTGTTTGAACCCTTCTGTTCAAGGGTTCTAAGTGATATTGATGGTCAAATATCAGTTTCATAATAAGAAAAATAAAGTTATCAAAATCATTCGATTGTCCATTGCTATGGTTATTATTAAAGTACAGTTGGGGAACAAATGCTAAATTAACATCCAGACTCAATTTTAGTATATCTACAGAGAAGGAAATAGTGCCGATAAACAGAATTAGAGTCATACTGAAGGCTGGGATATTTTGTCCATGACAGTAGAACTTCTGGATTTTACTGAAGATATTTTCCTTTATGATCTCAAACTGACAGGAGTAAAAGAGCTTCTCTGGCTTGAAGAGTACGCAGTCATTGAGTCTAATTTCTACCCCAGAAATTGCTGCCACATCACAAGACCCACTCATTGTTCTAAACGCTGCGCTGCCCCCATGTGGGGCATCCTTACTAGTTCTCAGGTCAAATGTAATCTATATGGTTCTGCATTCTGGATCTGATTGGACCTCATCAGTTTTAGCAGTAAAAATTAGTACTTTGTCTCACTTTCCGCTGCCAGCTCTATGGCTATTCCTAACTTAGTAGTGTTAAAATGTGAGACAGTGGACTCTTGTCTGGAGTTTAGTGGATAAGAGTTTAGTAGGCTTAGTGGATAGAGGAGGAAATCTTAACATCTCTTCTTTTCCCCCAGTCCTTCATCCATGGTACTACATTACGTCTCATCCACAGAGGAGGTGCTTGTGAAGGACTCATTCATCTTGGCTCTCAAGACAGTGACTTCAGTTCAGATTGCTTCTTGCTGTAGTTTGGTTAAGAGGAAAGCCAAGGAGAAAGCAGGATTTGTGGCAGCCCTAGTCTAAAAGTAATTCTTATTTGTTTTTAGGACCATCGTCTCCTAAGTGGGACTGCACACACATAAATAGCTTATCCCTTTGCAGAGTAATTTATTTGAAGTTACTGGTTTATTTTCTTTATCAAAGCTGAATTCATAGAACAAAATAGAGGATGAGTTAAACATAAGGATTTAGTTCTTTCATCCAAGAATATGGTACAAACCAAAACATTTTTTTTTTTTGTCAGTCATGGGGCCTGACCTCTGGGCCTGGGCGCTGTCCCTCAGCTCTTCAGCTCCTAGTGCTCTACCACTTGAGCCACAGCACCACTTCCAGCTTTTTCTGCTTATGTGGTGCTGAGGAATCGAACCCAGGGCCTCATGCATGCAAGGC